GTTCTTTGTTGAAATACCCAAAACACAGTAATTTTTAGTAAATTACTATCTGTACTTGATGTCACAGACTTCCGTTTTCAACTGGTGGCAATTCGACCGTGCGGTGATTTCAGACAATGCCTTAGATCTATCAGAAGAGGATACATGTTTTGGAAGTGGTGTGCCGTGCTTTTGTTCGCTCTAGATGTTCTCGTGTGTTAGACGTCACTTGGACCTCCTGAACTCTCATAGCTTCAATCGCCGTACTTGAACACACAGGAATGCGAGACAGCACCACTATCGTCAAAGATGAAGAAAAACTTACGGTATATTTTGGTTCGAAAAACAAACTCCAGAGAGACAGGTTTTTTGTCCTCTTCTTTTTTAACCTCGTCTTTCTCTTTTTTCTTTTTTTTTAGGCGGCTGATCTTTGTGAAATACTGAGTCAGTCATCCAAGAACGTTTATCTTTAACCTCATGCCAGAAAGGATTTCGGGAAAGAAAAAAAAAAAAAGGGGGGGGGGGGGGGGGGGGGGTCCTCAAACTCAAGAAGGTAGGGCGAGGCTCTGGGGCGAGGGTAAGACGGGCCGGGGAGGAGGAAGCAGACAGAACGCTAAAGAGAAAAGGAGGTTTCTCCCTCTCTTCTCCAGCGTTCCGTCAGCTTCCTCATTTCCCGGGCCGTCTTAAACCCGTCCTACCCCTGTGAGTTGCTGAAAGTGCTTTGGACAACCTTCAGTAGCGTTTCCGACGAGGGGAGAAGTGCACGTGCAGAGCTTTAACCGGCGCTCAAGCACGCGCTGCCGTACCTTTGTCTGCATAGTATACAGTGAGCTGTTCTGCTTACTGACTTGTACAATAATAATAGACCTATTGCTAAATTACCCAAGCATCAAGGAGAATGCAGGGATTGGTGTTCCACGCGCCGCACGTGCTCGCCTCAGCAGTAGTAACTTTTCTAAAGTAAATGCCCAAAACAAATTGAATCTTGCACGCGCGTTCGTCAACGCTTTATTTTGGTCATTTACTTTGAATCTTTTATACGGCGAAGGCCTGCGTGTGTGGAGCGTGGAACACCAATCCCTGCATGAGCGTGGAACACCAATCCCTGCATTCTTCTTGATGCTTAGGTAATATATCAATAGGTGTTTTACAAGTAATCAAGTCGTTTTGAATCGATAACGTTTTGGAGTAATTTCGTAATCATTCGGATACATTTATTGGTAAGTAATCACGAGAGTAATCTGCTTACTTCTGGAGGCACTGTAATGACTTGTAATCGTTACTAGAGAGTTTTAGGGAACCGTTTCTGCACTTCCGATACGGCACGATGGGCCCTCCGGTACGAACTGCGCATGCGCTAAAGCGCGATCCAAACCAACGCTTCTTTTTGCGCCTGTAGGTCGTGCGGCTGCGGATGTGACGCATTTCGTGGCGTTTTTGCTGTTTCCGGGCGCGCTTTCTGAGTCAGAACCGTGCGCTTTGGTTTGGACGGGCGAAACTTCGGGCGAGCGCGCACGCGCGCACGCAGGCACGAGCGCACAAGCAAAGTGCAACTGCGACAGACTGGCCGGCCAGACGGCGAGAGAAAGAGAGAGAGAGAGATCGCGTTGCCATGTTGGAAGAGAATAAAAGGGGGGGAGGAGAGGGCAGCCAGACGGCGAGAAACGTGGAGCCGGAACTAGCTTGCCCTCCACCGATTGGCCGGGACACAGGAGCGCCCTACTACGTCACCGCGCGTTTTTGTGCGCGTTGAGAAGTTGAAATTATCCAACTTTCTTGTGCGCGCCCGGAAGGAGCGAAGAAGCGGCGCGACGTCACGAAAATGCGTCACATCCGCAGCCGCACGACCTACAGGCGCAAAAAGAAGCGTTGGTTTGGATCGCGCCTTACGCAGAAGACTCGCGCACGCGCAGTTCGTACCGGAGGGCCCATCGTGCCGTATCGGATATGCAAAAACGGTTCCCTAAAACCCTGCTATTTCCCCCTCCGCTTCCTAACGGTGCGCTTTTGTTCATACAAGTTTCCTAGCAAGGAATCCTCGAACCAAGTCTCCCGACAGAACAATGGGTTACCCGAATAGAAGGTTATAATTCCGCGATTCTTATTCAATCAAATCCAAAACGAAAGACCCGTGTTCAAACCGCTAGAAAAATCTATCGTTTTGAAAATCTGAAGTAATCGGAATAGTAACGGTTACTTTTTTCAAGTAACGGGTCAATTACTTTTCTTGTCAGATAATGGTAGTGAGTCTGTGCCACTCAGCTTGAGTGGCACAGACTCATTATCAACATATGCGCTGCATCCCCCCCCCCCCCCCCCCCCCCCCCCCCCTCCCCGCGTTTTGTCTTCTTCCTTGTGTTCCGCGTTTGTTTTCTTGTGCTCGTCTTTTTAGCGCTTTTAACCATGGTTCAAAACATCCGATTGAGCTTTGGAGGGCGCACCATTCTAGAAAAGGGCTGCCATTCCATGTATTAGTAAGAGCGGGTGGTGTTGATCTAACTGGCGTCGCACTCCGCTCTCCCCAGGTGGCGGGTTCGAATCCCGACCGAGGTGCCCGCAATATGACGGAGGCTTAGTGCGGAGAAGGCGCCGTGTAACCGAGCTTTCGGTTGCACGTCAAAAGATCCCCAGGTGGTCGAAATTAATCCTCAGTCCTCCGCTGGGGCGTGCCAGATGCCCGTCGTAGGTTTGGCACGTAAAACCCCCAAATTTGACTTTTGTCGCACTCCGCTCGAGAATTAAAAAGAAAGAAGCAGGGAGTGGAGGATTACAGGGAGAGCGAATGTAACTATAGGCACGGAGAATTAAAAAATAAAAATAAAAAAAAGGTAGAAAGGAAGACTCGAGAGAGAAGGGAATTATTCCAATGCCCCAAGAACCATTAATATTTCACGCAAAAATCTGTACTTAAATACACCTAAGTTTGAGCTTGCATACGTCATTGCTTTATTAGTCACATATACAGGGTAGAGCACTGCACGGGCCGGAATTTCTAGGCCCGGCCCGACCCGGCCCGGTAGAGACACGGCCCGGGCCCAGCCCGAGCCCGACAGAATTTTTAATTTCTAGGCCCGGCCCGACCCGGCCCGGAAGAGACACGGCCCGGCCCCGGCCCGAGCCCGACAGAATTTTTTAATTTCTAGGCCCCGCCCGACCCGGCCTGATGGGTGTAGCCCGAAACAACCCATTCCCGTTTGAACCCGTCCCGTTTCGACCCATTCCCGAAACGAGCTCCCCATTTGAACCCGTCCTGTTTCGACCCATTCTTTACACGCCCTTCCCATATGAACCCGTCCCGTTTCGACCAGTTCCCTAAACGCCCTTCTCGCTTGAATTTGTCCTGTTTCGACCCATTCCCTAAACGCCCTTCTTATTTGAACCAGTTTCCGAAACACCCTTTGCGTTTGAACGCGTCCCGTTTCAAACTACTTTTATAAGGCCCTGCACATCGCAACCTCTTCGCAAAAAGTCTCCATCGTTCTAAGCCTGGTCTGCGCACCTTTTCTGTCTAAGAATATGTTCTGTAGTAGCTTTACATGTCAACGCGTTCTTAAAATATACAACCCTTTCAGGCAAGCTTAAGTTTAATATATTCCTACTTAACCCCTTAAAACGTTTTTTTCAAGATGGTTCCCAAAACGTGCAAGCGCGGAACGGACTATGTACACTGCGCGACACTGATACCGCGAACACGACGTTGGCTCTTTTTTCGAATTTTACTCCGAAATGGTGTTCGTAGGCACCAAAGTATACCGCTCAAGTCTGTGGCCCAGATGAGCAGTTCTAAATACACTACTAGTTTTGAAAACAGCGTTTTGATTCTATGAGATAAACATAAAAACACGACGATCGCTTGTTCGCGCTAATATAGTGTCGCGCTCTGTGCAATAAGGGAGTCTTAGAATAACGTACTCAAGCACTTTGGGCAAGCTAAAATTAGCATTGCCATAGGTTTTACATCACAACGCTATTTTTACGGTACCCAAAGCGCTTGTGTACGTTTTTCTAAATCTTCCTAATAGTGAACTAGATATTTTTGAGAGCGATGAATCAGACAGGTTGACAAGCATATGACTGGGACTTTATTTTATTTAAAATTTATAACACTGAACCCTCGCCCACACGGAAAAAAGCTTGAAGGCTTTCTAGCTTCAAAACGACTTTTAGTTACTATTTTTAACGACGCTGTAGTGAATTTGCACTTCGCTTTTTTTTGTGTATTCAATGAACCTAAAAGATTAATGATCAAACTTCTTGCTATCAACATGATAGCAAGATATTCAACATGAATATCAACAACAATTTATGATTTACGGCACAAGATTGCCCAAGCACGGCCCGGGCCGGCCCGGGCCGGCGCGGCCCGAGAACTTTTTTGTTCAAGCCCGAGACTGGCCCGGGCCCGAGAAAATACGTGCTACCCGGCCCGAGCCCGGCCCGCAGGCCGGGCCAGGCCCGGGCCGGGCCCGGGCTTTCGGGCTGACCCGGGCCCGTGCAGTCCTCTAATACAGGGTGCTTTCCCAACAACTGAGAACAAAGTAAAAAGGGCCGCATGCCGCCGGGATAACTTTATGGATCACGGCAATCGCTAGGTTACGACAAAAAGAAATGACCTAAAATTTATTCATTACTTATTTTAGCTGACATTTTTTTGGCCGTCGTGACTTCTTCCATATTTTTATTTTTTACGAGTTCCGCCTGTCCAGTCTCTTTCTGTGGTAATTCAGTTTGGCAGGTTTGGCGTGAGAGGATGCTAAGATTGCTACCTAGATTGCTACACAAAAGCTAGCGCCATCGTTGCTCACACGCGCGGTATAAAATAAAGAGGTGAACTGCACGGGCGCTCGTGGCGCGAGGCTGTTGAAAATGCGCTCGGAACATCATCGAATATGTCTCCGTCTCGCTCCTCCAGCGTTCCACGTATTGGACGCACCAGGCCACAAATATTCCACTTTCGCTTTCTCACGCGGCGATGGCAGCGCTCAGAGCGAGCAGTGTGAAGCGAAAGCGTGATTCCAGTTTCGGGGGGTGTGGGGCAACCGAACGTTCCTCGCCCGCTTCTAATTGTTGTTGTGCAAAAAGCGAAGTGAATGAACTCCCAACTAAGTTCCAAACCGTTCACTCGTGTCTGCCCAGTGCCAAGGACCCACAGGGAGCAATCCGCGGTCTCTTTCGGCCTCTACAATGTGACAACCAACTTTTATTTTCCCCACAGCGCGGGCCTGACGCGGGCGCACCGGTCGCAACAAGTTTTCGAGTTCGGTGGTTTCCTTCGATCGCTCCCATCTAGCTTGAATCGAGCTGCGCATTGATTGCCGTGAGTAAATGACCTTCACTTTTTTGTTGTAATTCTTGCAGTTGTTTGCACGCTGGGCGAAGAAGACCACAGCGACCATAGTTGGATTCTAACCGAGCGCATCGGTTGTACTCCTGTCCAGCGCTGTCCTGTCGAACAGGTGAAATAACTTTCCAGGATTCGCTTTTTCTGATGGCGCTCGCTTGGCGTGCGATACTGGTTGTTTTCTTCCGTCGGCTTTCCCCGACGCGTTTTGGGGGTTGCCAATGTCGCTTGTCGGATCTGATGCGTTGATTGGAAGTTTTTTTTAAGTTTCTTTGAACAGCCGCTGCGTGCTGCACCAATCGGTTAATACGGTCAAAAGTTCAACGAACGACGGATGGAATTCTCGAAGATCCTCGTTATTGTACCGGGTCTTTACAGCGTAGAAAGCGGCTGTGGCCATCGCAAACGCTGTCTAGGAAGTTGAAAGAAAAGGCGTAGTCGAGACGCATTGGGGTTGATTCTGGTGGTAAAATCAAAGATTCCACACCAATAGGAAAGGGCCAAAGCGTGCAAGCAGGCTGGTTACATACTAACTCCAGAGGTATCCGACGACACGATCGCGAAAGTGCAATGCACTAAGTAGCCGTTTTCAAATACAATGTTTGAAGTTCCAAAACTTTGGACAGACGAAGCCTCCATTGCATGTTTTGTTTGCATTTTAGCACTTCATTTGTTTAAGATGTGATTAATTGCCTTCCTTTCGACATCATTCCCAAATAATTTGAAGTGTTTAATAGAATATCATTGTTTGCAATGAAGTATCTCAACATACAATTGCTGTCAAGCAACAGATTTTTTTTTTTTAATTCTAGCTAATAAAGCAGCGCGTTACTAAAAAAAGAAAAACCCGAGTTAAAAAAAAAGTTAAAGTTATCAATTTCGCAATCTCGAAATAAAAAGTTATAATCTGTTACAGTGATGGAAGTGCTGTGTCATTTGCACTAGAGCACTATATAGCTCCTTCGGAGCAGAGTAGCTCAATCTAGAACGCCGCCTCTCGGCGACTAGCGGCGAACGCCCGGAGGTTCCAACTGCGGTCAGAAATGCATGGAGAACGTGAGAAAATCGTTGTTTCTTCAGTATTGTGGCGATGTACGGAATGGCAATTGTTTTTGACATAATAATGGAACATTTTAGAATAATTTGCGCTAAGTTTTGTGCCCCGCAAGGACGTGAGTTTTTTTAAAAAATTGCCTGAGCGGCATCATGCAGCAGACGACACGGCGACGTCACACCATTCACGTGACCCGCTCCAGCCAACCCGAAAATCCCATCTCCCCTGCGAGCAAAAATCGTCTGCTTCAAACGCCATTGCCTTGGATATTGCCTTCTCAAAATTCGCACACGCATCCGATATTATTAAAACTTTGATAAATTGTTTAGTGCTTTACTAACTTCACGACAGACTAGTTTTGAAAAGTGTGAACTCGCCGTTCATTTTTTAATCAGCCGTGTTGTGTCGATCTCCATGTATTCTCCCATAGGGCGGGCCGCCTCCTGGAACCCTGAGTACCACGTGACTCGCGCCGAGCCGCTCTGTCGGCCATGTTGTCGGCAAAACACGGGGTTCAAAGGATTGCGCTACTCTGCTCCGTAGGAGCTATATAGTGCTCTAATTTGCACCAAATTGCGCCATGAACGAAAATCTGCTACATCTTGTGCCAAAGCGTCATTTTCACTGTGCCAGGATGGGCTTAAAGCAAAATATAAAAATAATTTAATATTGGTCGGCCCTAATTTTTGGAAAAGTAGAAGAAAAAAAAAAAGGTATTAATATATTTCATGGCGTCTCTACTCGCCTTATAATTTTTTTTCATTTTAGGTCTGAGCACAATCGAAAGACCGAACGCATACAACCTCAAACACACATATTAAAAGCGCGAGTCATGGAACATTCACTGCATCCAATTGGTTTAGCCGATGAAAAAACACGGGTACAGAGAGATGAATGCCATGATGTTACGCTTTTGTGCTGTTTAATTGGTCCCATTGGCTGTAGCGTCAACTTCAGCTGAAATGAAGTATAGATTGTTCGCCAATCGTTCTGGCCGGTTGATGCGCTGGCCGGTTGATCGTCAACATCGTCTGTGAGCTCAGAAACTAAAAGTATTGAGAAAACTTTGCAAAATACTAGGCTGGTGGTATACTGTGATAAGGCAGAACCAGGATCTTGTGCTCCTGGTGAAATCACTCGATCATCACGTCCGCCACATGCCTTCGTGCCATGACCGCTGAGTGCCGTGGCACTTGCGTTGCACCTGTCAACCTTCGCAACATCTCACCACGCATGAGCGTGCATACGTCGGGCTCCACCGCTTTGCACCAGAGTGCTAGGAGCAATGACTGACCTGTTGGAGGGTTAGCGCAATAGGCACGGAATTCATTCTCAGGATTATAACAGACCGACCTTCTTTCTCTCAATTGCAGTTAATATCTAATTATAATTAAAAAGAAAACTGTCGAAAAAAAAAAAAGATAAAAAACAAACAAACACGGGTTTCTATATTTGAATAAATACGGTAGCTCTTGTTCAGCTGTCGAATAAACAAGCAGCAAACTTTGATTTAACTCTAGTTCCAGCGCTGCTGAAGAGCAGTGTCACATTTAAAGCACAAGTGTAGGCTTTCATAATATGTTTCAGTGGTCGTTTTTGTAGTTTATGATATTAGAGTTTTGAGTTTGGCAGGCTCATAAAACTTGCCGTACACGTTTTTATTGGTGCAGCGGATACAGCGGCGTACCAACTTGTTTTTGAGTGGGGGAAGGGGGGCAAACCAGACCCCTCCCCCCCCCCCCCCCCCCCCCCCCGGACCCGGGGGCGGTGCCGACCAGTGTTTGCCCTGCCCAGTGGTGGCAGTTTCAGGGGGGGCAAAACACATGCCTTGCCCCCCCACTCTCAGAACTGGGGGGGCAAGCACCCCCCTTGCCCCCCCAGTTGGTACACCCATGAGTGGATATGCTGGTTTTTGCAGGCATTTTCCAGAAATTATATTTACAGGCCAATTAAACTACCCAGCGTAGAACAAGTGGGAGGGAGGCTTTATCACAACTGAAGGATTGGGCTATGATTTATTTTTCAACCATTTTTAGTACCCATCTTAAATGGGCCCCTCTTTGACCAGGGCCTTATTTAAAAAAAGGAAGGCTATCTGTTCCATTTGCATCCAATTTATTTTTAGCACAAAATGTGATAAGTAATACACTCCAGTATTAAATAGGAACTGGCAATCGTTATCACAGGCAAACTCATTTAGATATGCCATCACTTGTTCTTTTTTTTTTTTTTTTGTTTCATTTGCCTTCGGATGTTATTTGCATAAGCATTCTGGAGGCTGAACTTGCACCTGTACCTGTGAATATTGTGACCATCTGCTCCAAAGTGTTAGCAGCTGCTCCATACCAGAATTTTGAATGCTACAGAACCTGCTATAGAAGGTTCAAGTGCTGCTTCCATTACTGCTGTTAGTATAATTTATTAGAATGGAGGTTTGGCCGAGTTGGTAAGAGTTCACAATGAAAAACAGCGCAACTGGGACTAGAATAAAGATTATAATTGTTACAGTATGAATTCATAATAATGACTATTGCCTTGAAAGCCCAACCAATATTTGACATTGTGAGCTGGCACAAGCTAAGTAAGCTTATTCTGTCTGGAACTTTGGATGAACAAAAAAAAACTACCAAAGCACTATTGTTTGTAAAACGTTTAGGGCATCAATCTCCTAAAAATAAAAAAAAAAAATTGAGAACTAAAATACTGATATATTTGCCACAGTAGGCAAGAAAGTAATGCTGAAATACATATTTTTTTCTTATTTATAATAGAGCTCAGAAATATGTGACAAAAGTATTTCAGAATAGTACTGCACGAGCACATTTTTAAAGCTACAGAAAAGTTTTTGTTTTGAAAATATGTTCTACACATTAATTCCATTTTGATGTGGCAACAGTATTTGATGGCCGGGGCAGATTTAGAACAAGGGGGGGAAGGCGACCCCCCCTCCCCCCCCCCCTCCTTTCCCAAGCTCTGTAAGGGCAACTTTTTAAAAATAAAATTATTAATATACATCAGCTAAAAGTTTAGTTTTTTGGGGACATAGCAAATATTGAGTCAACAAAATAGATTTGGGAAACATTTCGGCCGTGAGGTCATATCTCAGCAGACTCCCTCCTCTGCCAGTGAAATGCCTACCGCTGCTGCCAGGCCTGATCCATTAATCCGCCCCTGTTTGATGAAGAGCGGAATCATTTTTGGGTAAATTACTTCTGAGATGTGATTTAATTACAACTATTTTGCTTCAAAATTAGTTAATCAAAATTACAATTATTAGCACGTAAAAAGTAATTAATTAGTCATGCACTACTTTCAAAAAGTAATGCATTTATTTTAAAATGACTTTCCTTTTGTAGCTACCCAACCTCAGTGATATGTATTACCATCTTTTCTACGTTGAAATATCTTTGACCATTCCCCTTGTCTGCATTTTCAAGATTGGGTACATGGCGTCTTACATTCGTTACTTTTTTTTTCACACACTTTGTTAGTGGTATGATATAGGAACTGAGTTCTAAAAATGATGAGAGTCGGTTGTTTTGTTATTTTGCAACACCATCAAGATTGTTCAAAATAAAAATGATTACTATGGTAGGCACCGAAACATTCTAATGGAGGCTCAAACTTAATTATTCCGGAGGTGGCCATCGTAAGTCGTGATGAGATACTGTACAAATCACAGTCGAATCATCCCCTTTATTCTGACCGTGAAAGGCTCTCATTATATGTGGGGCGTCTTTTGTGCCCCTCGGTGGCCGGCTGCTGCGACTATGGCTGTTTGTCAGTTCTATGTCCAACCTCTGTGTCAGTTCTATGTCACTCTATGTCAGCTCTATGTCAGTTCTATGTTGCCTTAATGTCAGCTCTATGTCTAGTGCCATGTCCCTGGCTCTGTGTTGGCACTTTCAGAGCACCACAATTTGGCAAAAGGGCAATGAGACGGACCCTGAGTGAATTTTCGCCTTACAAGAGAAAACAAAAATTGTTCGTAACTTGAATTCAGCGACTACCGAGGCTAAAAGTAATTAAGTTACAAAAGTATGGCAACAGCCTATTGATAATTTTATTTATTTTTAGCAAGTTCCTGTTTCGCTTTGGATGGCCTCATGCTCAGTTTTTTTTTTTTTTTTTCAAAATTAACTTAGAAAATGTGGAACCCTTGATGTGTGTCACCATAATTCTACAGTCGATTTTATTGTTCAAATGAAAAGTGTCACATAGTGATAACTTTAATATAATTTGCACATGTTGTAATCATTTTGATTAATTGTAATCAGCTGTTGCTTCATCTTGTCCCTAACCATTTAAGGCCTTGTTTGGCTTAAAGGGGCCTAACATTTGTGGTGTATGTATAAATTTACGATGAAAATTAAAAAGAAGTGCAGGAGCTGGTAAACTAACTCCATAGTAAACTCCCAAGACTGGCAATAAGAAAAGAAAAAGAACAACCACACATACAGTCTTAATATATAGATTTCTTTAGAACAAAATTATTATAACTGCTATATTATGATCCCTGTTTTTCCCAAGCTCTCAGGATTGAAGTGCCGGGGCCTTTGTTGGTTACATGCAGGCAGGCTTGAATGGGCCCGGCCAACCAAGCATGGATGCCGTGGTAGCGGTTGCCATTAGTGTTTTGGCAGTGGTTTTTGTCAGCTCCCTTGTGGCTCTAATCGTCGTCTGCCGCCACCGGTACTGCTCTAACAAGGACCACTTGAGCAGACAGCTCCAGGACTCCCGGTGAGCATACTCGGTAAACTGTAAGACGTGCATACATATCCTATGAATGTTTTTTGCTGACATCTATAAATGGCTAGAAAAAATGTGCTCAATATTCATAGATAAGCAGAAAAGTTGTGGATTTGTTCCTAGAGGTACTTGTTCTCTCTAGGTAGAAAGCTATACCTAGCCTGCGGACTTCTGGGATTATTTACAAGGCTTGTCTAGTTTCAGGAAAAAGGACAAGTTTAGGTTTCGTAGATATGTAGGCATTAAACCTTCATTGATAATAACATGACGCACACCCAGCTCGATGCATGTGGAGCGAAAGCTCGCGCTGCAGAAGCCAGGGATCCTGGGTTTGAGCCCCACCCCTGCCCGTTTCGATCTGAATGAGCATCGTACCGGCGTGCGGTTGTGTATCACTACTGCGTGAGTACAATAAAGATCCCAGGTTAACAGTCGTACTACACTGGCAAAATTGCTCATCTACAGTGTAAACCAGTGTGCCCCGTTCTGGCAGACCAACCTTACGCTGTATAAATCACTAAACGTTCAATTTTTTTTTTTTTTACTATAGCATGAGGGTTTACAGTGTAATATGTGTGCGCTTACTCTAAAATAGTGGAAGCTGCTGTATAAATATTGTCAATTTGACCTCGCTTCTGATCATGCTCTTCGAATTCACCCTAGTTTTTGCTTTTCGATTTTGTTCTTCACCACATCAAGCATTGAAACTTCAGTTATTTTGGACCTTTATACGAACCTATACAACACACAAGGTGCATCTTTTTATATCTGATGACTTTCAGTTCATTTCTCAGGTATATCTGGCACATTTGCATAGAAGGGCTAGTCATTCTGATTTGATGCCGCAGCTGTATGTGGGAGCATATCACTGCATGGAAATTATTCACCGTAATGTTTTCCATACATGCTTTTCATATTGTAAATTTCTCAGTTTGTTGGCCCTCATCTCGTTTCGCAGTCTACAAAGCCAGTGAGTTTGAGTAGGTATAACTGCTACAAGATGTTGCACATATGCTTGCAGTTTTGCAAGGATTGAAAACAAAATAGATATTAGTGAATCAGCCAAGTTTTGAGGCTAGAATGGGAGTGTTAAGGACAAGCATAATATGCAGCTAAATTTTAAGATATACCTTATTTTCCAATGTATAAGTCGCAGTGTTTTTCAAAAAGTTTTCTTGATGTGGGTTATACACTCTGTGTGATGCGACCGGCGTGTTGTTGCGCGGCTGTTACCGAAGGTAGGCGGTGAGAACCCCAGCGAAACGAAACCATGCATGCCGCATACATTGGTACACATTGAAGTCCGAGCGGTGCAGTTGCGCTGGTTTGATGAACTGCTGCATCGTCAAGTGCTCCAATGGTTATGCGTCATGTCTCGTGGAAACAAAGTTTCATAGTTTTTCAACTGGGCGATGATTTGTGGGACAGTGACAATGGTAGACCTGTGCCGTACGATGCCAGAAATTTGGCCTCCCGATCATGACTGACTGTGTCAGTGCCGCTGACATATTCTACACTGCCGCTTTGCGCTCTGCGTTTTAATGCGTTAGCATTAGAGTGCACGTTTTGACGAAAACCCGGCAGTGTCCTTTGTTTGTCAGCGTTGGGGAGAGAGGGAGACAACTTCGAGAAAGCCTTATTTGCTGCAATACTTCAGCAAAACAAAAACAAAAAAATATATCTGAGTTTTTACAAAAATATTTTAGGAAACAGCTTGTTCCCTCCAGATTGTTTTCTCAGCTTCTTGCACTCGGTGCCGCTGTTGCCATTGCTTCTGAGGCCGGTTCCAAACAAAGTATTAAAGGTCTGATTATGATAATAATGTAATTAAATGCAGCACTATTAAAGGTCTCAGTCGCACACCAAAAGTGAAAAGCAAAAATCAAAGGTCTCAGTTGCACCAAAAGTGAAAAGGGAAAGAAAATATATATCTATTCAATGACGTAAAGTATGGCCTTTGAACTCGATCACAGTTCGCGAGTTGTTTAACGAAAGTAACTTTTTCCTTTGGTGTTAAAGTGCGCAAGGTGGTGATATAATTTTATAAAAAAGCGGGCAAGCTTGTGTAAGACAAAACACATATATACTGACATGTACAATCAGATCTGTATGTTCCTGTCTTGCTCAGTCACTCTCTTTTTCTGTCTGTGTGTGTGTGCGCACGCATACAAGTTTTTGTTCGTTTCATGCGCATTATGATATGCTTGCATGAGACGCCACATACTTAACGAAAGAAGTGAAAAATAGCTACAAGCTCACCTCTCCGATTAGCGCAGAAGTGCACAGCATTTCATCGTGCTATACACTTTCATTTAGGGATGCCGCAAACTTTTTTCGAATCGAAGTTTCAATGATTGAATCAAGCGGTTCGAAAGGTTCTAAAGATTTCGAATTTTCTAACTTTCCATATCGAGAAATTCGACGGAAGTCGAATTTTCGAACTTATTAAACTAAGAAGTTCTACGCTTTTCGAATTTTCGAACTTATTACGCTGCAAAATTCGATGCTTGTCGAACTTTCGAACTTGATAGACTAAAAAATTCGATGTTTTCAAACTTTCGAACCTCTTGCACTGAAAAGTTCGAAGCTTTTTGAACTTTCGAACTTCCTACGCTAAGAAATTCAATAATTTTCGAAATTTCGAACTTATTAATCTAAAGAATTTGAAAATTGTCGAACTCTTGATTCCTGAAAAGTCAAAAGTTCGACGAACTTTGAACTTTTAAGGTAAAAGTTCGAAGTTCGTCGAACTTCGAAAGACCGGCGGGTGGTTTCATTTGGATTCAAGCAGTGTGGTACAGTCGTAATTTTTTTTTTCGCAATTTTGCATGGGGTGGTCATTCCTTGCAAAAGACAATGCCGTTTATTTCAATCATCTGGCATGCTTGGTTTTAGAAAAATAGATTCCCAAAGGAGCGAGGAAAGGACGACTGGTTTTTGACAATTGTCGTTTGTGCCATATTTGAAGCACGCTATAGCCGAAGCTATTTATGGTAGAGATGTTAAACTTTCTAAGAATGATCTATATATAGCCTAGGTGAGTGTCGTCTTAAGATATGATTATTGTTGTTCAAGACGAATTTCGAATAAATATCCAAACATGTACCTACGAATAATTATGCCCTAAACTTTGTAATTTTTTTCGCCTACATTGTTTGGGGTATCGCATTTAAATTAACACCAGAGACAGTACATATCATTACCATCTGCAGAATACAAAATAATGTATTTCTTGGGTTTTTTTTCACGTTGAGGAATAAATTAACTCATGGGGAAAGATTTCTAAAATTGTTCAAGTTCAGTGCGTCATAAAAATTTTTTTTTTCTTTTTCTCATTTTACGTTTTAGGGATGTGTTTCTTTTGGCCTGTACACATTTTGGTAGGAGAAACTTGTTTCATAGTTCTGGGCCTCTGAATATGCAAGAATACAACACTTCCGGCGGGTTCTTGATAGTTTTTGTTTTTCTCCAGCTTTTTATTTTTGCATTTATTGTTATGTTTATTTATTGATTGTTTTTCACCAATGGCACTGTTATTTAGGTCGAAAAGACATAGCTTTGAACTTTCGAGCCACCGAGCATGTGACGAGTAGTGCCTCCTGATAACGAGTTTCTAAAGGACTGTTCACACATGCAGCGGAGCACTACAAGCCCATCGCTGACCTCATGCTAAGCACGTGCTGATGGGAGCGTTCACCAACTTTGTATCGCACCGTCAAAACTGTTGCTCATGGCATACGATAAGCACCTGACGGCACATGAGCAGCGTTACATCAGCGCTTCGCTGCATGTCAGAATCGGCCTTAACAATGACTATCTACACAATCTTTTATGCAGTGAAGAGCGGCAGTAGCTATACATAGGCATAAAGAATTTCAGATGAAAATAAGCTCGACCATGCCCTCTTTCCCCGTATTGTTTTCTTTAACAGTCCGAAATATCTGGGAGGGGGGGAAGGGGGGAGAGACTGGAGCTCCCCCCCTTCCTTCCCCCCCCGTTTTTCCTCTTCGGACGCCACTGGTATGGTAGAACGCCCCTCGACCTCAAGTTGCGTCAGCTTCTGTGCTTTTTGCTCGGCGTTTCTTCCGCCCCAGAAAATAAACCTCCAAAGCAATTACAAACAAAAAAATTCTCAAGGTGCAGGCGAGCTGGTGTATGTTGATCATGATGCAAAATCCCGAGACTGGGAATGAAATTCACAAGATATAGTGTAAGAAGAAAGAAAAAAGGGGACAGGACAACGTCTCAAACTCAGCTGAGCTGAGTTTGAGACGTTGTCCCGAGCTGAGTTTTCAGCTAAGTTGAGTTTGGGACGTTGTCCTGTCCCCTTTTTTCTGTCTTCTTACACTTTTTCTTTCAAATTTCATTCCCAGTCTCAGGATTTTGCATCATGTACAAACTAAACTTACTATATGCCAGCGTCACTCGGGCGGCGTTCGATCGGATTACTACCAGAGTGCAAGGGGGTAGAGGGGCAGTTTGCCAGATCACTTCAAGGTTTTTCTGAACCTCAACCACCTGCCTGCCCCTGGCCGTTTCGAACTGGATGAGTATCGTTAAACAGTGCGTTCGTAGGATCACTACTTCGTAATGCACGTTAATGACCACCCCGGGCTGGTGGTCACAATTGCTGATCTATTGTTACACGTCACTGCACTGTCAAATATTCCAGCACATCCGGGGCACTCGTCGTCTCATTTAATTGCCTGACCAACTTCGCGCAGTCTAAATATCACACCCAAACTTTTCTAAACCTGATTTCGTGCAAACCAGTGAGGCGTGAAAACGTTATTTGAAGCAAACTGTGGCGGAACATGAAAACCGGACTTCAAACTTTGCGCACTTAGACTTAAAAAAAATTGAAAACCTTCGAAGTTTTCTTTTTTTTTTTTCGAATTTAGGCTTAAAAAAGAATCGAAACCTTCTAACTTTTCGAACTTTATGTAGAAAGAAATTCAAAATCTTCGAATTTATCGAACTTTATGTCTTTAAAAATTCGAAACGTTTGAATTTTTCGAAATTTAGATCCAAAGAAATTCGAATCTTTCGAATTTCAAATTAGGGAAGTTCGAAATATTCGAATTGAGTGAACCTCAAGTAAACAAATATTCGAAATAATTGAACCCAAACTTTTAGAAACCGTGAAAGCTTCAAACTTTTCGAATTCGAAACCCCACAATTTTGGAAAGTTGCAAATTTTTCGAATTTGAACCTCCCTACTGTCGAAAATATCGAAACTTTTCGAAATCGAACATCAGTTCGGTTCGAAAATATCGAAACCTTTCGAATTCAAACCTAGGGTGGTTCGTGGCATCCCTACTTTCATTTGCCTGATGATATTTTTTTGTATTAAAAACGAAATACATTTACATGGACGGCATCAAGTTACAAGCAAACAATAACAAACACATATTTATGGTATTAGTTTTGGAGGAAATTATTTTTGTGAAAAAGGTGTTTTCATGGAAAATAATTGTAGTCATATTGGTATGGCTTGAATCACGATTTAAATTGTCTTGATTCTTTTTTTCTTCACCCTGAACTCAGTGAATTTGGGGTAGATTAATTTCAGAATTATGCGTCGATTTTGTGAAAGAGTGCAGTAATTGCACCTTCTAGAAACCGGGAAGGTTTTTAGTCAGAAGCCGGCATGCAGTGTGATTGATAGAAGGTGTCAAATTTATTTTCTGAGATATATAGAAGCAGAGAACAGCAAAACGACCTTAGGTCTGCCCTAGCCCTCATGCAATGTCACCTTCAATGTATCAGCTCAAAAAGCCAAAGTTCCGTCCGTGCGTGCTTCCACCCAGGGCCGTAACCAAGGGGGGGGTTAGGGGGTTCTGACCCCCCCCCCCCGAAATTTTTTTCTGGGTACGGCCCTGGTCGGTGCACTGGCAGCCAGCCGGTTTTAATCTCCACCTCTGCGCACGCGCAGTGGCGCCGGTTGGCTACCGGGTACCAAACCGGGACCGGTTCTCCGGTTTGCTGTAACTCTTCATTATATGCCACCGATGCACATGATTCATAGGCGAAAATAAGACAATCGACACTTTCAAAATGGCCGCCGTTGTCCCCGAAAACCCCCCCCCCCCCCCCCCCCCCCCCCCGAAATTTTTTTCTGGGTACGGCCCTGCTTCCACCGCCACAGCTTCGCAAGCGAAAAGGCGCCACAGGCTGCTAAACGCATCTCATTGTCGAACGCCAGCTCTTCTGCTAGTGGCGCTACGTGCATTTTTCAAAGCGCCCCCTATAGTTCTCACACGGGGCGTATACAACAATGCGTCTTATGCACATTTTTTTTTTTAATTCACGGTGCGGCACAATTTTTTACAGTGAAGCTGTTAAGGGCTAGTTTCCCCAGTTTCGTGTCCGTGGACAAATAAATCTCGATACAAAACTCTGGACAGCTACCACCTTTTTGGAGCGACGGCGGCAATCTTTCCAGCCTTTCCACTCTGGTTTTCACCACAGTGGAAAGGCCGAATTTCTCTAGGCGTCGTTCTAGAAGTCGTCCTCGAGGTCACCCTTGACGTCGTCGCTCAGGTTGTCTGAGAGGTTGTCTGAGAGGTCGTCCTAGAAGACATCCTTGAGGTCATCCTAATGTCGTCCTCAAGGTCATCCTAGAAGTCGTCCTCGAGGTCATCCTAGACGGTGCCCTTGAGGTCATCCTAGAAGCCATCCTTGAGGTCCTCCTAAATGTCGTCCCTGAGGTCGTCCTAGACGTCGTCCCTGAGGTCGTCTTAAGCGTCATCCTCTAGGCGTAGCCCTTGAGGTCGTCCTAGACGTCATTTTTGGTGTCGTCCTTGAGGTCGTCCAAGAAGTCGTCCTTGAGGTCATCCCACCATAGTAGCAATATTCGCTCGAACTAACATTTTTAAGTATTCATTTTTTCCACGCACTATTACGGATTGGAACGCCCTCCCTCGTGACATCTTTTTTGCCCCCGACTTCAATGTTGCTCTTGAGAGTCACAACTTTTGATTGTTCTCCTTTCTTTCTGTTTGTACGTGCATTTCTTTTTAATTTTTTTATTGTATATTAGGCATTGATTATGGAATGTTTATTATGCTGATGGCGTTCATAAGTATTTATGTCGATGTATAAGCAATAGATAAGGTTGCCATGTGTTTCTTGTTTCTCATATGTATAGTTTTGTTGTTTGTATGTACCCCACACCTGCAGGGGCCTGTTCAAGGCCTGCAGTATGTCTAAATAAATAAATAAATAAATATAGCTTCGCTGATCTTAATAATTGGGGCTTGTGGGGATATTTTGGCAGCATGTAGTTGGTCAGCCATTTCAAAGATGCGACGAGTCATTCAGTGTAGACGAGAAATTTAGCCAATGCAATACAACCGCTTGCCTGTGGTTCTTAACATGCACCACGCAGTAGTGGTACACGACTATGCTGGTACGATGCTCATCCAGATCAAAACTGGCAGGGGTAAGGAATGAACCCAGGATCCCTGGGTTCTGCAGCACAAGCTTTCGCTCCACGTGCTCCGAGCTGATTTGCGCTAGCCCACTCGGCCACCGATCCCCCCCTTCGCTGATCTTTCTTCTTCACTAGACTGGAAAGGCTGAAAGATTTTTTATGCGCTGCACGTCATCTTTTGTAGAGCACCGTAACTATGTAGCCATAGGTGGTGTTGCCCCTTCCAGGAGGCACTGCTGTTGCATTGCTCTTCTACTCTACGCTCTAGTCTATCTACACTTTTCATAACTGACTCGGAAAGTGAGAAATTTTTCCGGTGTCCCCGAAGCGGCTCTATGTGGATGGGCAAGACAGTGGGAATAAATCTTTTACAGCATGTGATTGACGTTGCCTAATTCAGGCATGGTTCTGTATTTTGCTTCAGTCCAATAACACTGAAAGGTAAGGAGGCTGGTATACACGCATTGCAGAAAATTTTCTTACATCTTTTTTAGTTTTCGCTTGATGAGCACCATGCTCCAGCAGTGTTGCTACATGTAAAAGGAAGGATTGCAGCTAGCCAAGCCAATCTTTTAGCGGTACCCAAAGAAGTGTGCCAAGATTTATCTGTCTGCCTGCGCGTCGATGCTCGCGTCGTCTCTGTGACTTGGCCAAGACCATGCCTAGTTGTCCAAAGCCTGGTTCACGAGTGTCTGAGCCGTTAAACATTCGTTCGCTCAGCATGTGTACGCTCGAATAATGCCGACTGCCTTCTCATTTTGTGCGTTTTACGGCCTTTTGCTGCGAAACATTCAATTGCCCTCACCAGACAGCACCGTGGTGTGGGCATCTCTCGTGAGTCGAAACGTCCAGAGTTGCACATCAAACAGCACGTGCAATCTAGCCGTTTGTGAGAAACTGATTTCGCGATACCAATGTGCACAGAACAAAAAAACTCATCACATGAACCGTGCAAAAAGGTGCGACTTACATACAAACTTTTCTGTGAAAAAGACTCAATATATGGATGTGCGACTTATTCAAGGGTGCGACTTATAGTCCGGAAAACACGGTGGCTACATTGTGTGCCATATGCCATAGTGACAGTTAGGCAACATATGATTTGAAGTCTACAGGGCTTCGTCCAGCCCTCCTGGAGGGTGTAAACAGCTAGATCTGGCAGAAACACCGAGTTTTGCTAGTAATAAAAAAATGGAGAAAAAAAAATTTGGTGGAAAAATTTTAGGGAAGCCTGATATTGCTTTAAATAGACGATTTAACGAGAGACGGAAGAGCTCCCCTTTACACCCCTAGGGGTGTAACTGTTTCTATGCTTGCCGACGGCATGAGAACGGCAGGGAGGTGCTTCAGTTGTCCCGACAACAGCGTGAGCAATTCCCACCTTCGATAACGCTGCTGCGTCTTGTGTGCTTTGAGCGTGCACGTGCAGTCGAAGCACAGTGAAAGGCAACAAGTGCATCTTGGATCACAGGCAGTTGAAAGAGACGCCCTGTCATCCTGTCAGTAACTATAGGACAGGTGGCGCAAACCACCGACCAATGCAAAAGGTTTAGCCACTACGATATATATCCATTCAACCATCCATCCACACTTGTCTTCAGCACCAACAAAAGCAGCCTTTATCACTTTCTGTGTTGGCGGCATGGCTCCTCCCACTCTTTGTGGATGAGAGCTGTTCCGAAAGGACAGGTTTCCAAGCTGTCCTTTGTTCTTTTCCTCCTTGTACCAGGCCGGACATTCACCTGATCCACAGCCAAAATGAGACGGCCGACATGGAGCTGGACGACGTCAGACTCCACCCCGACATCGAGAAGATCCTGGCAGACGAGCAGTGGGTGGACGATGCCACGTACGCCTCTTGTTACACGAATCAACTTTCCCAACAACTGCTGTACTTGTTTTCACTTAACAAGAGGCGTAGTGAAGCTTTCGAAACTAGGAATTTCCCCTGCAAGGCGAAACTAACTATAGAAGTTAACCTGTTCACACATGACTGTCTTGTTTATTTGCCATTCAAGGCATCCGACGACCAAGCGACGTTAAAACATTGTCTGGATCAGATTAGCCAGTGGTGCCTTCTTTGGCAAATGCAAAGTAACTTCAGCAATTGTCTATTATACTCCGACATCAGTAATAAAAAGAACATAAGAGCATATCCCCTTTTCATGCAGTATCAATTATTGGACATATGGAACTGACCAAAGTAGAAACCTTTAAGTATGTAGGAGTAACAATAAGTCAAAATTTGAAAAAGCAATCTCACATTAAAAATGTCTGTGCAAAAGTGTACTGCAAATTATGTGGGTTGAGACGCAAACTTAAGGATGCCAATGCGGAAGTAAGACTTGCAGCGTACAAAACTCTGATACGGCCGACACTCCAGTATGCCTCTGTTGTTTGGGACGCCCCTTTGCTAAAACCAACATTAACAAACTAGAGAGAGTGCAAGAACAGGCTGTTTATGCAATCTTATCACAGGTTGACTTCCCCGCTTATGAAAATGTTAAACGCGTTCAGGCTTGAGCCATTTGGATTAGAAGAAAAATAGTATGCCTAAAGTTTCTGTTTCGGATTTTTCATGCTCAGCTAAAAATACATTCTGATATTTATCTTAAACTTGATGCCAATAGGTTGGCTCCTTTAAATCATTATAAAGCATTACAATCATATTTTCCCAGAACTGATGTGTTTAAATACATTTTTTTGTTAAAACGCTAAATGACTGGAACAAACTTTCTGAACACATTGTTAGTTTTATAAATGTGTCTACATTTGAAAATGTGCTTCAACATTTTTATTTATATTTAAGCACATGAAGCTTCCACAATCTTTGCTATGACCCATGTATATGTCCAGCAATGTATATTCCTTTCCTTTGTAATGTTCTTCAGTTTTTTCTTGAAGTTTGCATTGTGACGCTCTAGGTCGTGCCTTCAAAAAGTGTTTCTTTTTCTTTTGTATGTGCTTTTTCAGTCTTCAAACTATGATACATTAGACTTGCCTTGAAATAAGTGTTTACATTTATGTTAACAGAGATCTAACTATTATGTATGCTATATCTACTAGTATTTCAATCTCCCTGTAATGGCCCATGGCCCTACAGTATCTGAAAATAAATATGTAATAAATAAAAAAGATGTGGTGCAAATACAACAGCTATGGTTCCCCAAAGACGTAACAGACGGCAGAACCTTTCAGGGGAACTTTAGAATGTGTGACTACAGCGGCCCTCTTAGGCATAGGGATCAATATGGGCTGCCTCGATGACTCCGAGGCAAAGTGCCGGCTTACGGATCCCCAGGTGGCAGGTTCGTATCCCGGACAAGGTCTGAAAACATCTGGCACGCCCTCAGTCCTCCGCTGGGGCATGCCAGATGATACCCTTCCTTTGTTTGGATCGTAAAACCCCCAAATTCAACTTGTCTCGTAGCGGTTGGCAATTGTTAGAAACGAAAAAGGAATGGGCCAGATGGACAGTACTTATTTGTGTATCCAGTTTATCAGCTGCAGCGTCCAAAAAGCATTATCACGGGAGAGCGATAAAGGCACATGAACATTTGATATGTTACGAATTGCCTCTGCTTTATAGTCGGGTTTTAACTGCTCTTATATTTCAGTGTATGTGCAGTAATCGTGTATCAATTTACAATCGTGTGGTATTCATGGTACAATGTGCAATTGCATCATAGTACGTTCTGCCCATACACATGAACAAACAAGCATTATTGAACTCGGCTACAGTCCTGTCTCATTGACACAAACCCAGTCAGTGTGGATAGCTTGCTACATAAGCAAAAGTCTTCAGGGACAGACTGGGCAAATGCAGGCATTTTTCGCCTCATTATTATGGACAACTCAAATTACGGACAATTCCTTTTTCAGGAGCGGAGGCGTTCGTATTAACAAGACGTCACTTTATAAAGGAAAGAAAATTCGTAATATGGAAAAGAGAGTATAGTAATCCCATTCGCCTAATGAGGACCAAAGAATCCAGTGATTTGAAAGCATCTCGCTCTCCAGTGGCCTGGTGCCCCACTGCCTGGCGGTGCTCAAGACGTGCCACCAGCTGACGGAGCGCCTGGTGACTGTCTCGGTGGGCTCGGTGAGGCGTCCTGCCCAGTCGCAGCGCCAGATGGTGGAACTGGCCCAGCTGGCCCAGAAGGTGGGCCCACGGGTGGACGACGTGGTGCGGGCTATGTACCCGCCACTGGACCCAAGGCTGCTCGAAGCACGGTGAGCCTCTTGCGGTGAAGAGTGACACACTAAAACATTGGTCCTCAAACATTTTGGTCTTGAGGCCGTCTCCTCATTTGTAGCCAATTGAATCCCTTCTGGTCTCAGCGGGGACACAATAAAGTGGTGCAGTAGCTTACTGACCTTGTAGACAATAGTGCCCATACTGAGGAGCGTTTGACATGTAGTTATATGCGTCAATGAATGGCTCACATCTTCTGAATTAAACTCGAAGAACACTTTACTTAGAGGAAGGAACGGTCGGGGAAATTTGTGAGTTTGGGGAACCCTGTAGGATGCCTCGGGCAACTTCTGGGTTTCTAGTAAGAGGTTCCCAAGAGTAGCCCTGAGGGTTTCTTTTGTATTTTGTCAGCCGTTCCCTCCCCTCGGTAGTTTTCTTCCAGTTTAAGCACCATTTCGAAAACGTTAAGTCATCCGTCGATGCGTAACTGCAACAATTCCTAGTATGTGCAGGATTGTTTACAAGGTCTGTAGGCTTCCGCACTGCTGTATTGCACCAATGCCAAGACTGCGGGGAGGAGTTCGATCGGGCATTCTTCGAAATCTAAATATCTGAGAACCCCTGCACTACCGCAAACTACCGGAAAAGCGCCCATTCAAACTTTGGAGATAATCACAAAAAATGGGGGATGGGCGCTTGTCCGGTCAGCAGTTTTACATAGAAATGTACTGTGCGTATTTTCTCAGATCTTACAAATTTGTGAATGGGCACTTAATGTGGAATGGGCGAATGAGCGGAATTCTACATTATACTACGTTTCTCCTTACGATCGGTCACGGTGAAGGTTAAGGACCATTGAAGCCAATTCAGTTCCGTTAGAGTCTTGAGTGACCTTCGGGAGGGGCATAGTGACGCACACGGTGGACAGTCACGTGGTAAGTTAACGGCACTGGGTTGGCTCGGATGGCTCGTAGCATCCGCCGCAATCCATTCTTAGGTGAAACTCTGGCCACCGAGCTTGGTCACGGATTGTCAATAAATGTCCAAGCTTGTAATGATGTTTTGTCCCTTCTATGTTATACATGTTGCTTTCCTTTTATCAATGCGACTTACCGGCACGCTTAAATTCATAGAGTAATGCCGTATTTACACGATTGGAAGTCAACTCAATGGTAAGTTGACCCCCCCACATTGCACATCAGCAAAAAGAAAAAAGAAACACTTTAGATGTGCATTTTACAGCGAACACGTGAAAACGGCAAAGTATCTGTTTCGAAAGCCCAACCTTCAACACGCGATCGATGTCTTGTGGCGTGCTTTGGCTGCGCATGCACGTTTGAGGTGCATGAAATGGCCAGATGTTATCAAAACTAGGAAGTTCACGCTGGAGGCGGGACAACTGAAACTGCTCCCTGTCGTTCTCACTCCATCCACGACTAAGGTTTTCCCGCTCATTTTAATCCAAGGGACGGCCAATTTAATCCAAGTACCATCAAATTTAATCCAAGTGCCACATAGTTTAATCCTTGCGCTACCCAATTTAATCTCTGGGTCAGTCAATTTAATCCACAATAAATATATGCACTTATTGTCTTCGGTGGTCATGTTTGCTTACACATCTGGTAACTTAGAATAATTGTTTATACAATTAGATTTTTTGGGGGACAATTGATCATTTGATCCCTAATGTGATTACTTGGAGTTACTAGTCCTACTATTGACGAGGCTTAGTTGATATGTTGATTACTCTTTTTGTAATATTGAGTTATTGTGGTGCGCTCAAATTTATTTTAGCTGAATGGACGTTTTGTTTAACCTTTCTGAGTACTCGATTTAACATTGCTACAGTTCAGATGATACAAGTACAATTGCAATTTATGATTACTCTTTGGTTATTTTTTGTTATTATACCTCCAATTGATCTATAATGAACTCAGTTGACATTATTACTCTTTTGATTACTTCGAGTTACTTTTAACCCAGTGGACTTGAATTTGACCGAAATGACATTGGGATGACTCTTTTGATTACTTTGAGCATATCTTCATACAAACTCTTTTATTATCAGCCTGATGTATATTATGATTACTCTTCTGATTACTTAAAGTTACCTTGACCCAATGGATTTGTCCTATTTCACAATTTGGTAACTCTTCTGATTACTTTGAGGTCACATTCAACCAATTGGTCTTTTAAGAGCTTGATTCACATTTTTATTACTCTGTAACAGGCTTGAGCTGAGCTAGTTGGATCATACTTCAGTTAAGGCCAGCTGAACTAGAAAAAAACATACACATAAAGAAAACACCACTCACACCGCTGGACTAACAACTGTTTTTCTTTTTTTCCCTCTTCTACTATGAGCCCCACTTGAGGGAACAATTCTCTTTTCCTCTTTTTTGCTTCCTAATTCACTCTTTTGTCCCAATTAATCCTAATTCAGCTTAATTGAAATTGTAATGAGACTTGATTATTTTCAGCTAATTTTTAACCATTTAATTTATTGTGGGCATAATAGACATGATGATTAATTTTTTTCATTTACTAAAAGCCAATGGGCTTTAAATCTACCCAATTAACATATTGGTGACAATTTTAAATACTTGGAGTTATTGCACCACCAATTTATCTATCATGAGCTCAATTTTCATTGCAATTACTCTTGATTATTTCGAGTTGCTATTGACTCAGCAAAACATTAATTCAGCTCAATTGACAGTTTGATGTTTCTTGAATACTTCGAGCTAATATCGAACCAATTGCATTCTTATGAGCTAAATTTGCATTATGATTACGCTTTAAGGTGGTTTGAGCTGCTATTCACCCAGTATTTTGATTACTTTGGGTTATTATACAGCAAATTTAATAATTATTAGCTATATTGATTTGATTACTTTTTCAATTACTTCTAGTTACTTTTGAGTTACTACTTTATACTTCACTTCAATTACCCCGGACACCAGAGGGCGGCGTCGGACCAGAGGTCCTCCCAGTGATCGCTTCTCCTCGTCCGACGGCTCCCTTTGGTGTCTGCGATACTTCCGAGGTAAACAATCTTTAATTCCGATATTAATAGAAAAAATCTAGAGCCCTTTCCCTTCACGCGAAGACGGAGGACCAGCGAAGCTATTTTAACATCTAAGGCGATGCCTAGAGGACGACGTCTGAGACGACCTCAGTGACGACGTCTAGGATGACCTCAAACACCACCTAGAGGATGACGTTTAGGACGACCTCAGGGACGATGTCTAGGACGACCTCGAGGACAATGTCTAGGACGACTTCTTGGACGACCTCAAGGACGACGCCTATGACGATCTGAAGGACGATGGCTAGGGCGATTTCAAGGACGACCTCGAGGACGACGCCGAGGACGATTTCAAAAATGACGTCTGGGATGACTTTAAGGTAGTGATGCAAAACTATCAATAAATTGACTATCGATACTATCGATAGTTTTTCCAAAACTATCTATAGTGTCCCAGAACTATCGATAGTCGACTATCGATAGTTGACTATCGATAGTACTATTGATAGTTTTTCGATAGTTGACTATCGATAGTACTATCGATAGTTTTTCGATAGTCGACTATCGATAGTTTTTCGATAGTCGACTATCGATAGTACTATCGATAGTCGACTATCGATTGTACTATCGATAGTTTTTCGATAGTCGACTATCGATGGTTTTTTACTATACTGGCGACTAACGATACTATCGCTAGTGCTATCGATAGTCTTGCACCACTATAGTCCGTTACAACTCAAGAAGGTAGGTCGAGGGTAAGATGGGCCGGGGAGGAGGAAGCAGACTGAATGCTAAAGAGAGAAGGAGGTTTCCCCCTCTCTTCTCCAGCGGTTCGTCTGCGCCCTACCGCTCGCCTCCCCCTCCTTTTTTCGCCCAAACCCCCATCTTCGTCATCACTGAAAGCTAAACCAAAATTATGATGGTAAGTGCCTGGGCTAGTTGGTGCCCCGTTTGAAAAAAAAATTAGAGCGATAAATAGACAAGAGGGAGCGACGCAAACTACTAGTGTCGCAAAACTATCCATAGTAAACTGTCGACAGTACTATTGATAGGTTTACGATAGTCGACTATCGATAGTTTTCCGATAGTCGATTAACGAAAGTTTTCTGATAGTCGACTATCGATAGTTTTTCGATAGTCGACTATCAGTACTATCGATAGCTTTTCGATAGTCGACTATCGATAGTACTATCGATAGTTTTTCGATAGTCGACTATCGATAGTACTATCGATAGTTTTTTGTAGTCGACTATCGATAATACTATCGACAGTTTTTCGATAGTCGACTATCGATTGTACTATCGATAGTTTTTTTCACTATCGATAGTCAGATTTCTGGCGACTATCGATACTATCGATAGTACTATCGATAGTTTTGCACCACTACTTTAAGGACAACCTGGAGAACGACGTTTAGGACAACCTCAAGGACGACGTCTAGGACGACGTCTAGGACGACCTCGAGAACAACCTGGAAGACGACGCCTCGGACGATGTATAGAACAACCTCTAGGACGACCTCAAGGATGACGTCTAGGACGACCTCAAGGACAATGTAGAGGACGACCTCAAGAATGATCTCAAGGACGACGTCTGGGACGGCGTTTAGGACAGCCTCTAGGACAACCTCAAGGACTACCTCAAGGACGACGCTTAAGACGACCTGAGGGACGACGTCTAGGACGACTTCTAAGACAACCTTGAGGACGACACCTAGAGGACATCGTCCTCGAGGTTATTTTAGAAGTTGCCCTTGAGGTCGTCCTTGAGGTCGTCCTAGACGTCACTCTTGAGGTCATCTGAGAGGTTGTCCTCGAGGTCGTCCTAAACACACCCTCGAGGTCGTCTTACTCGTCTTCAAGGTCGTCCTAAAAGTCCTTGAGGTCGTCCCAGCCATTGTACACGAGGTCGTCCTAGACGTCGTCCCTGAGGTCGTCCTAAACGTCGTCCTCTAGGCGTTGTCCTAGGCATCATTCTTGAAGTCGTCCTAGACGTCATCCTCCAGGCGTCATCC